GAGGGAGCAATCAGGGGCTCTCAAGGGGAATTATCCAGCTTACCCATCAGTGACTCACTCACTGTGCTATTCTTGGCCCCAGACCTCCAGGCGCAGGTCCCTGTAACTCTCTAACTAGCTAATCAAGTGAATGCCTAGGTCCTTGAAATATTAAAAGACATTTCAAAGGAGCTGCGAGTTGACACCCTAACTTAATTATCAAGATTGTAGACTTGATTTCAAAAGGGCAGAGGTACATTTTGAGCCACCATCACATACACACGAAAGGCAACTTCTTACCATGTAAATGTTAACTTACACTTGCATTTTCAGGATGTGTAGGCCACATACTCTCAAATTGCTTGACTTCTATTTAAACTTGTTTTAGGCCAGAACAATTGAAGCACCTCCTAGAATATTAAATGCTTTTAAATGTCACTTCATGGAAAGTACCAGTTGGTAGGTTTTAAATGACTCTCAAAGGGCATATTTTCTTAATTTTTCTCCATGGTAACACATCTACCAATTTGCCACTTTAATCACGGTGCTGCATTTGAAGCTAATTACTCAGATCACAAGTGCAAGGATGGGGGGGGGAGGCAGAGTTTAGAAAGATACATGCAAAAATTCACAACAGAGAGCTATTGTGTTTTGGCACATAAATGCCCAGGCGTCGGCTCTGTGAGGAAGGCATACTTTCAAAGCAAATCTCTTTATCACCCAAGTCCCAGTCAAGATACTTGTACCAGTCACTTGCACCTCCACATTAAATATGTGAGTCTCAAGCTGAGACACACCTCTGTATCAGCTCTCCCCCAAGAATACAGAAGGTGCAGGACAACTGCTGCCACAGTGGGAACACTTCTTGGCCAGAAGAAAAGAAACCAGGGAGCGATGATGTCAAGCAGTAGTTTTCAAACTTTTAGGAAGTGGGACCCTTTTTATCAAAGGAACCCCAATAATAAAATAGAAATATTATTGTATTTCTATAGATTTATTCCTAAATTTAAAACACTCTTGTGAAAACACTGTTGTTTGGTGGACATAAAACTTTGGAACTGGAATTAAGGCTGGCAATTTGTTAAAGTAGCTTCAGTCTCCATGTTAATTATGTACTGTGTTGTGCTTGCAGAGTTTCAAGAACATTGATTCATATACAGGAGAAGCAAAGGGCACATGGTTCAAAGTGCACCAGGCAACCATTTAAATGTCACAAGTTTTACTGTAGGTTCCTTGCAAAAAAAATTTGCTTGGCAGAAAAACTGAAATGTTTCTATTATAATTTGGTATTCAACAACAGTCTGCATTTTTAAAAATTACATTTAAAAATATTTTTAAAAAATAAACATTGCATCAAATATTTATAGAATGAGGCTCCTGGGAATGAAAGACTAGCCAATTCTGAACTAATTCTTTACAGATCATTATAAACTGAACAAAAGGACACTGCACAACTACTGAAGGCACTGCAGAGAAAAAGAAAACCCAGAAAGACACCAGAGGAGGTTGATGCCTGGGAGGGAAAACCTTTGGGTGCATTTCCTGTTGTTAATGGCTTTTTGCTTGAGGACAGGCTCTGTCCTGCCAAGCAGGGCAGCTAAACTTAAATGGAAAACCCACAGCCTTGCTGGCTTACCCGGCAGTCTTACTGGCTGAAAAAATAAGAGAGCTAAGTGTAGAGTGACTAAAGCAGATAGAAAGTGAGGGGAGGATCCTAGAAAGGAGAACTGGAGAGGGGGATCCAAAAATTCTGTGTAAAACTGCCCAAACCTCTGGTTGATCCTGTAACCAGACATAAGCAAGGCAAACTCAAAGCAGCCTGGTTAAGAACTTAGATTTCTACTGCTATCCATTGCAGGGGGTGAGGGTGGGGAGCTTAAGTCTAGCCATGTTAACTGTCTCCCTTTAAAAAGAAAAAAAATCAGCCCTAGCTGGTTTGGCTCAGTGGTTGGAGCATCGACCCACAGACTGAAGGGTCCCGTGTTCAAGTCTGGTCAAGGGCACATACCTCGGTTGCAGGCTCGATCCCTGGTCCCAGTCGGGGCTTGTGCAGGAGGCAACCAATCAATGTGTCTCTCTCATATCAATGTTTCTCTACCTTCCACTTTTTCTGAAAAGCAATGGAAAAAATGTCCTCAGGTGAGGATTTAAATAAATAAATAAATAAATAAATAAATAAATAAATAAAACAGTATTTTTCAGAGAAATATAATAGAATCCAAAATCTCTAAAATGTATGGTTCACGAAGTTTATGATACAACCCAAATCTACTAGGTGTGCATTCAAGAGACAAGGTAATCAATAGAGATTAATCCTAAAAAGACCCAGATGTCCGAATTAGCAGCAAGGATTTTAAGAATGAATATACTTATGTTTGAAGAGTAAAGGAAAATAAGCTTGTAATAAATAAACAAGTAGGAAATCTAAGCAAGAAACAAAACTATAAAAAAGAACCAATGGGAAATTGCAAAATGAAAAAAAAAGTCTGAATATAAGATTTACTAAATAGGATTAAGATCAAATTGTAGATGACAGAATAAAGAGTCAGTGAACCTAAAGACAGATAAATAAAATTACCCAACTTGTAGAACAAACAAAGAAAGAAGTTTTAAGTGGAAAGACCCTCAAGGAATTGTGGGGCAACTTCAAAAGGTCTAATATATGTGTCACAGGAATGTAAGAGAGAACAGAAAGGGGCAAAAAACAGATTTGAAAAATAATGCCCAAATATTTCTCAAATACCGTGAAAGACAAATTTACAGAGTTAAGCTCAGGAAACCCCAAGAAGGATAACTACAAAGAAAATAACATCAAAGGATGTGAAGTAACATTGCTGGTGTATGTGAAATAGTACTGCCACTTTGCAAAGCTCTGGCAGTTTCTTATAAAACTAAATACACCAAACTATGACATAGCAATTTCACTCCTGAAAATTTACCCAAGACAGGATGAATACCAATGTCCAAAAATGACTCGTTCAGGTCTTATCCAGAACAGATAAACCCACTGTGGTATATACTACAATGGAATACTCATCAGCGATAAAAAGGAATCAACAATTAATATATGCACGCATTTCAAAAACTATGCCAAAAGAAGCCAGGTGCAAAAGGATACATACTGTTTTATTCCACATATGTATGAAGTCCAAGATCAGGCTAAACTAATCTGGGGGGGAAATCCTAACAGCAGTTGCTCCAGGGATAGGACAGGAGGACTGACTCTGGCAGGGCGGGAGGGAACATTCTGAGGTCACAGTAACATTGTCTATCTTGATGGGACTTGTGTTACAGGAGTGTTACATTGTTAAAGCGCGAATGGTATCAAGATGTGTGTATTTCACTGTACGTACCTTTTACCTTAAAAATATTAAGTATAAATATTAAACTCTAATTTATGATATGGGTACTACAGTGTTCAGGGGTGGAGTATACTGGAACTTACTTTGAAATGCATAAAATACAGTGACCTGGTGGAGGGACAGATGGACAGATATGTGTATACAGGCAGTTACTGAACAATTTTCTTGTAGGTTTACATTTTTTCATAATAAAATGCTAGGGAAGAGGAGTATTTACTTAACTCTTGAAGGTTTACTGTGAAACAGGATCATAGTGGAAAATTGAAGAATTGAGAGATCAAGCTTTGAGAGCCAAGGAGTACAAGCAATAGCCAGTGTCCTCTTTAGCACAAGGGAACTAAACTAGCTGGACACTAAGATGCCTTCTATATATAATAGTATGTCTAAGGCATGAGGCTGTCACAATCACTGAATAGTCAATAGGCTGCAAGTAGAGCTTTTCTGTACATTTGTCGCTGCAGCTGTGGTGGCAGCTGCTGGCTCGAAAAGGTCCCTCCATCCTGAGTGCTGGGGATGTGGATATTTCCACCATCTTCGTCTCTCATCTCACGCTTCCTCTGCCTCTCGTGCCTTCCATTTCACTGGTCCTTTGGTTCCATTATCACCCACACTGTCCTTCCCACCTTAGGGAATGCAAATGCTGCCCTGCTGTGGGGAAACTCCTTTTCCTACCCTTGGCCCCTCGCTAATTTCTGTTCGTTCTTACACCTCAGCTTCCCCTGGCCCACAGGCCACACTGGGCACTTCCCACTCCACCCCCAACTACAGCACATGTAAAGTGATCGCAATTCCTTATTTGACAATATTCAATGTCTCTCTTTCGTTTAGACAATAAAAGCTCCAGGAGGGCAGAAACCGGCCAGCAGGTGACCTGTAGAGGACAATAATGGCTTACATTCACAACAGTGCTATGAAGAAGCCAAGCGTTTAGGGTTAAAAGTGTAATTTTATTTAGATGTTACTTGTACATAATCTATAGTAAGATATACAAACAGATAAAAATTGTTTAACAGGAGTTTTTTTAATACCACTTTAAATTTAATTTACAAGAGCGTTGGTAATACTGCAGGATGAGAGATACTCTGAATAGAAAACAATAAGTACTGGCTACTCTGGCTGATACAGTCCCACTAGTCTTTAATGGATTAAAATGTATCATGTACTTCAGTTGCAAATTATTACAAAACTTTCACAACCCACCCACGTGTGCTCAGAAAACATTTTGACATTCTAAAAATTTACTGAAATGAAAATGTTAATTCTCTAACACTGTACTTTTACTGAAGAAAAACGTTAAGGGCCCCAAATCTTACGGTGGTTTGGGCTGACAGTACAAAATCAACCGTATCATGTTTGTGTTGCTAACGTGTGATGCCGAGCGATCGTCTCATCCCCTCTGCCTAATCTATGATGTGAAAGAAGGCTTGTAGGATATTAAACTAGAATACACATGGGGGAAATACTGCGGACAATTTAAAATAACCTTACGATAATCTATAAGTACTTTAAAATGTAAGACTCATAGGTAAGAAATATGCTTTTAAATGTTGTTCTCTATTTGTTTTGGTAAATACTTCTTGAAAATGAAAACTGAAAATTCAAAATATTCACTTTTTCCTTTTCATGTAACACCATTATTAGAAAAAATCTAAATTTAAATTTTAGAATCAAATTTGCTGAGAAAAATACAGCAAAAATAATCTTAATTGAATTTTGTACTTTTCCATTATTTTAATGGCCACACCACACATCAGGGCAAAGGCCTTTTCACTAGTCAGAAAATAAAGTTGAAAATAACTTGCTGATTAAACTACAGGAAGGCAACTAATAACTAATCAACTTATGAATACTTATGAATAAAGTGCCACTGATTTCATGGTAATGAGCTATTGTAAGTAGAAGAAATCCTGACGTAGATCAGAGCTGTGTGTCCTCTCCGTCCTGAGAACAGAAGGGACATGAGAAACAAAGATGCATCGCCAAGAATGAGTTGTAGAATTACACAGGTGACTCCCAATCCAAAAGTACAGGAAAGACAAAATACTGTAATAAGATAAAACATTGTTATAATGACAAAATAAGACTAAAAATGATAAAAGTCCCAAGAATAACGCCAAGAGAGTAGGCCTCTACACTGGAAAAAAAACAAAGGAAGTGAAGGTTCATTAATAACTATTCCTTACACTGAGTAAAATTAAGGTGACAGACAAATGGTGAAGCTCCACGAAACAGAAACTCAGGAAGCATGTGCTGAAACAGCGGGTACAGCTGAAGACTCCGCAGCCTGGTACAAGCGTGGTCTTGGAAAGGGGATGCAGACATGAGGCTTTAGGGTTTCAAAATCTATGTGACTAAAACCCAAGGTGCAGGCTTTTTATGATGACCGCCTACAAGCCAAGCCACTGGCCACTCCGGGACACACAGACAGGCTGGGGGCCGGCGGATTTCCTCAGGTGAGCTCATTACCACAACTCTGTTCGCTACAGTCCCGGGCACATTCCTACCGTCAACCCAGCTAAAGACTCATCCTGTCTGAGTGTCACTAGTACCTGCCAGGTTTGAAATGCTGGGCCCGGTAAGAATTCCTTGGTAAGTAAAGTGTCGCAGCGTATTTGTGCAGTCCTGTTTCTAATCAAAGCCTGGGGTGTTTGCTTATTCTAGACAAGCAGTTACCCTTCATCCAAAAGCACAGAACAGAAGCTCTCACTCCTGAGCGTCCGCGTTTACGCAACTTCACCGGGACCGAACCCCGGCCTCTGTGTGACCGTGTGCGGAGAGTAGCAGGAGGGGCAAAGGTGGAAGGAACGCGTCTAATCTTACAGTTACAGGTCTAATCTACTCTGAGGTACTTTTTAAAATGTAATGTGCTGACAATGAGAGAAAAGAGAACCGTGTGCTTGTAGGAGAGAGCGAAGGCCCCGCTCCTGTGGTGGATCCCTAATCCGGCCACAGCACCAGGAGAAGCAGAGAGCTCGCAACACCTACATTCGCCAGCACCCAGGCTTTAAAGTCCAGACCAAGTGGAGCGAGGTGGCATCTGGAGAGCTCTCTGGAGCACGAGCACGCAGAGGAGCTAAGTTAGGCCGGGCTCCGTGAAGGGAAGGCGCAGTCTCCTTCACACCAGAGCCGACAAGCAGCTCCGCCCCGCCAGGCGCAACTCCTAGGCTGCTTGTCTGCTCGGCCCGGCTGGTGCCCAGGCTGGAGGGCTGTCAAATGTTTTGAGTGTCATCCCCAATGGCCCCTGAGGAAGGAGGACCCTGTTCTTCATTTTCTTTACTACTGAGCTGCTTACCTCTTACAAAAAGCATCAGCAAGCATTGACTAAATGAACGCCCACTGGGAATCCTGCCTGGAAAGAGCGCTCCCAATTTCACATTTTATAAGAGCGTGCAAAGGCAATGAAATTATTCAGCAGAACATTCAAATCCAGAGTCTACCACGCCAACAAAATGAAAGCAGAAGCATTTGATTCTCATGTTAAATCTTTCTCTCTAGAACCAACTTCTTCTGAAACACACACAAAAAGTTGAAACGATATCACTTACTGATTGGAAGACGTCACTCTGACACAGTCATTAATCCTGCCACGGCCTAATACCACGCAGCTTCACAAGCACACAGCGAGTCTGCAGAATCATAAGCCACGAGTAAACCCAAACTGCACTGAACACTCTCATGGCCAAAAAAATGGAAGCAAATGCTGTTTTCAGGACAATGCAATAGGTACAGCATATTTCCTCATGTGCAGCACAATTTTCTATGTTCAGTGGCACTTAAGTATTACACAGTAAATACTGAAAGAACCCAGAATTTTTGGATGTGCAAAAGCATTATCACATTATTAATACAAAAGTTGCTAAGCTACAAGATTATAATACCACTATTTGGGTGTTGAGACCACTTAATATTTTCAATATACTTCCAGCACACGGTCCCCTGGTTGGCCACCAGCCTGGTCGCCACGTTGTCCCCTGCACACCGCCTCAGTCAGACCAGTCGTTTTCATCAAACTCCGAGTCGTCGTCGGAGTCGCTGTACTCCACGGCAATGCGTCTGGACAGGATCGTGGCCACGTCGTTCCCCACAGGCTCACGCTTGGCCTCCTGCTCACGCTGCTCTTGTACTTTTTTCAGCTGAATTCCTAGAGACACAATACGTGGTTTAGAATTAAATCCTTTGCTTGCTCCAAATTAAGGAAAGACAAACCAATAAGTCTACTTGACTTTTTCCCCCCCTTACTGACACTAAGGAGAAGCAGTTTTGGAAATACGAAGGGAGAAAAGCTTGGGAAACAGAAGCTTCGTGACAAAAAGAGAGCATGTGCACTCAAAGTCATAACGTTTTTTACAGCAAAGTAATGTGTTGAAATATAAAGAGTTAGTTACACTTTCGGGCACATGAGCACCATTAAAGAACATCCCAGAGTTGCACTGTGCAGCACGGTGGCCATGAGCCACAAATGGCTGTTTGGGGTAAACTAACAGTGGCTGGTGGCGACCACACTGGATTGTGCAACCACGAAACATTTCTATCATTACAGAACATTTTCCTGGGGCTTGGACAACTCCTGGCTAACCTGTGGGGGTAACTGAGAAAACTTTGTTTCAACAATTATTGTTGGAAGTGGATATAAAATACAACCATCTATTCTCTTACCTAGTAAGTAATAAAATGGGTTATGTGATGATTTAATGTGTAAATTCTCTAATAACTTTTCCTTTTTATAGAGAAGCTGTAAGACTAGTATTAAAACGTTCCCATATGACTTACATCCGGATTCCCAATGGGTAGTATCTCACCACACCTGTTTTACAATCTTTCTCTAGCACTGTTATCAATACAGAAACACTTTTTTTCTGGACAATTTGAAAATATGTAGCATATAACTTGCTACTTCGCCCTTAAACTACTTCAAGTGTAATTCCTAAAAAAAAAATTATTAAATTCAGACTATTAGCATAGATACAACACTACCATCCAGCCTACAAATTTTATTTAAATTTTGCCAATAGCCCAGCTGGCATGGCTCAGTGGCTGAACATCGACCTATGAACCAGGTGGTCATGGTTCAATTCCCAGTCAGGGCACATGCCTGGGTTGCAGCTGGTTCCCCAGTAGGGGGCGTGCAGGAGGCAGCCGATCAATGACTCTCATCCTTGATGTTTCTCTCTCTCTCCCTCTCTCTTCCTGAACTCTCTGAAATCAATAAAAACATATAAAAGTATTTAAAGTATTCTCCTTCTTATAAAAAAAATAATTTTGCCAACAGACCTAATATAGCAAATGAAAAAAGGTTTTCTCCAGGTTTGGGATTCAATATGCATCATCTGTTACATTAGCTGTGGTGTTTCATTAACGCTCCTTAATCTGGGTAGTTCTTCGGCCTTGGTGTTTTATGACCTTCAAGTGTTTGTAGAATGTCCTCGATTTGGGCTAATCAGAGGTTTCCTCAGGGACAGATATTTGCAATTTTCATTCTTACTGGGCTCACAGGTGTTAAAAATCAAAACACTGCCCTATTGTGCCCCAAATTTGTTATCAATGATAACTCTGGGACTTTTTTTCTTAACAAAATCAAAATGAGTCAATGACATTCAAGACAGATGAGAACCCTGGGATCTGTAGGAGGGTGTGTGCCACACTCATGCCTGATCCGTGGGTGCTCAAGCCAAGAGCAGAGGTAGTCTGTCCCAGATGTTCTGTGAGGGGCATCCCTGCTGTCCTGTGAGGGACATTCTTGCTGTCCTATGAAGGACATCCTGCTGTCCTGTGAGGGACATCCCTGTTTTCCTGTGAGGGCCGTCCCAGCTGTCCTGTGAGGGGCCTCGCTTATGCTACAGTAAGGCTCCCTCAATCACTTCCAGGCTGAAACAACTAAAATGTGACGTAGAGACTGGGCAGCTCCTCAGTGTGGGAGCTTTTAGAATATTTCCACACCCTGTCATGACCCTCACCAACCTGGGCTGCAACCTGGAGTAAAGAATAAATGGTGTGCAGCAGGTATTTCATGTGGGGCTCTGAGGGGAGGCCACGGTGGCTGGGTCCAGGCTCTGATTTGACAGAGATGCCCTGTTCTGGGGGTTTGGTATAGGACGTTCATCTGACAAGAGTTTTTGCTGCTACAAACATAAAAAGTCTAGGACATATCTTAGATATTTATAAAAACAAAATCATTAATATGAACTCATTTTCTTTCATTTATACTTTTACTGTTAGAGTAGAATGCAGAGAAAAGAGTCAGTATTTACTTATAGTCAAGTAAAGCTATCCTGAATTCTCAGTTCTTTATCATTGTGTTCACTTCACACTGGCAAAAACATGACTATTTTTAAAAATATCAATAAAATAAAAGCTCCTTTAACCACATTCTAAAAAACAGTCTAGTGTAGCGAGTAGTCATTTGAAGACCAGGCTGCTGACTGGAGACAGAGATCTCTTTCTGAATGGAAGACAGCACAGGGGGGACTCACTTACCCATTCGAATGGCAGCAAGAAGATCGCTGCGAGCATCGCTTATGGGAGGTTGTGCAGTTTCTTGTCTCTTTGCCTCAGCTGCTGGAGGGCCATGCATGGGGGAGGGGGAGAGAGAAGAGCCTGCGCCCGGAGGGC